AACCCATCTCCCTGAGCCACACCAACATGTTGCTGCCCCGCCTCCTGATGTTTTACCTGCACCTTCGAAGCTTTCTACCAGAACACCATCACCGCCGAATCGCAAACAGAAAGCCAAATCCGCTCCAAAGGCGCCTGCCAAGCGTCGTCGCCGACGTGACCAATCCCGATCCCGCTCCTCGAGCCCACTGTCACTCTGGACCTCCGAAGACAAACAGAAACTACGCACTCTGAAGGCTGACGAGAAGTCTCGATTTTCATGGAAGGTGATCTCGACCAAGATGGGCAAGTCTGAGGAAGATGTTCGTTCTATGTGGAATAAGATCAAGGACAAACTTGGCTGACCAACGACATATGCGAACCAAACAAAAAAGGCAGTTTGCGGCACGGTATTACGGCTCCACCAACCAGTTGGCTTCCTTTTGGGAATTTTTTCTCCTTGTTAATCTTTAGAACCATGGGCGCTGTTGCACCATTGACTTTTGACACGTCGTATCACACAACCCGCCAGCCATTTATTATGTCTCTCCGCATTCACCTGGACCGCTATTGCCAACTGCGAGCTATGTCCCACGAGAGGATCTCACCTACACGACGCTCACGCTCTCCAACCAGGACGTCGTCTTCCGCTATGGGCTCTTCGTCATTTCAGCACCCACCCAACCGGTCTTCGCCTCCGACACCTCACCGACCGGTTATTTTCCAGTTGGACCTGAAGCCGATGCAACAACTGGCCGTACGCAACCCTTATTACAACATCTTGACCCCCAAGGTCGCGGGCAACCTTTCTACGGCCACCTATGATAGCCTGTTCCAGACGTTCAAGGTGATCTACCCGGACTATGCTCGCAGTCATTTCGTCTCAGACCTCAAAACCGTAGTTACCGACACGTTGCTACAACGCTGGTCAATACACCTACCAGCGTCAGAGTTCTACATGATGATTGACACCGACCAAGGAGCTCAGATGCTTGACGACCTTCCTCATTCTCTTCTGGATGTTTTGAACTGGTTCTACCCGAGATGGAAAACTCATCAACATCTCGATGCTTTCACGACTCGTGAGTGTTCACCGTTGCTGCTGACACCCCATCCGGATGCACAAGACACAGGCTTTGCTGTACATGTTCAAGTGATTCCCCGTGGGCATCCATTCGTCACGGCCACCCGATACACTAAAGCTGCTGAGTGATTAGCTGTCTTGAAGGATCTCGGCAAGGCTCCCGCCTATGAGAAAAAAGACAACATTCGTTATGATGTCCACCACCACGGTTCTGAATTTCCCTTATGTAATCCTTTTCTCGTTTTCCATTGGGTGATGTTCGTTATTTATTCCTTCATCATTGACCTTCCCCACGGCTTTTTGGCTTCAGTTCAGTATTTCTCATTATCATACTCTTGTGATCGTACATGATGACTTCCAACACGGATGATCCTGCTCGATTGGTCTCACACCGTTCACCACCTACATCCCCACATGGCCTTGTCTCACACCTGCCACCTGATGATCCTACCTCGGCATCCTATATTCCTCGTGCAGCGCGAATGATTCCGACCTCTACCACGGTCCACTCCGTCTTCATCAAGAAGCTGAGCTATCCTTTGTCTAACCGTTCAGATGAACTTTGGATCGTGGAAAGGACACTTGATGGTATTGAAACGTGGAAACCAGTGGAAACATTTCTGGAGAACATGCACCTCACCAACGACCAGGCGATCCTGCGTACCACAGCTAACCATTGGCGCCGATACTATGACGTACCAATTCAATCATCATCCTCCTCCCCTACGGCAACTACTGTTCCCGTTTTACCACACCCTGAACACTCCAACGTCTATGTCTCCCAGCCGTACGAAGCGATACCGGACCACCTCCATATTTTGCAGTCATGCTGGGGACGCTCTGCCCAACACCACTCTCAAGGAACCACTACCTCTTTATATTGGCCACCTTGGCGGTCTACACCACCTTCTTCCCCACCGGCAACACTACAACGTACTGTACATCTCACTCACCCCGCTGTCCCTCCTCAACAAGTGCATGGTCCACTGGATGCGAACGATATTGACCCGATGGATATGTCGGACTCAAGTGTGTAATATACCACATTATTTGTCGGCAAGAAAAAGACCTGTGCTTCACCGTCTCTTTGTGTGACCATTTGCTAGGTATTCCGTTTCCCTTCCATTTCCAACACTTTGAGCTTTATTCTGTGGTCATTCCAACCCATTTTGCAGCTTGGGCTTTTCGCTTTCTCCTCGATACTTCATATTTGACGCAATGGCTCGTTCTTCTCGGCCCAATCCATATCGCGCTACATCTACGATCGAGACACCGCTTGGTACACGAACCGTTGGATGGTTTGCTGGACATCGAGGCCTTCCTGGTGATGTGAACCCTCCTCCAAACAGACCTGTTCTTATCTTGGTTGACTTCTCTCCCCTACAGGCATTGATTCACCGAAGCGAACCTGACCGTGAACACTACATGGCTCTGGCGAACTCCAATTTTAGAAATGTCAGTGGCTACGAACTTGCAGCTCTGTTTACCTGGTCACGTCAGATGGAACCAGTTGAAGCCGGCCTCATCCCAATTGCCGAACTTCGCTTCTGTATCTCCAAAAGATTGAGGTCCCAATGGGACATCCAAATTGATCCCTCGAATCTGGAGTTTCGCTATTGCGACCTGGACGGTGATACATTCCAAGTTTCCAATGATATGACGATCTTGCAGCTTCTGGAGGCATACCGACCTGAATGGCGACTTCGGCAGTATAACTCCCGCGAATCCTCTTTCCTCATTCCGGGTACCAGACAGCCTTTCGTACTACGTCTGCAATGCTACAAAATTAGCTCCGGTGTGATCCTGCCCTGATACGCTAGCCTGCCAAAAAAAGACCATGCCACAGGGTTTTCAATTCTCCCTTGACACCTCACCAACATAAAGGATTCGTTGATTTCTACTTTATTTGACTTTGAGCTGTGGCTTCTCCGTCGCAATTGAACCACTTGATTGAGGACTGGACTTCACTTTTATCATTCTGGTGATCGTTATCATTTTCGGGACTGGCTTATATTTGCTATTCTTGATGCCTCAGCCGTTGTTGCACTACTTCTCGCATTTGTGACAGTTTCACCCATGGAACACAAACGAGACGCGACCGTGGCGGGCTTGTCTTGGCCTTCGAATCCTACCCGTGGACTCGCTCCTGCCAACCCAGTTCAAGTACCAGACGCCCAGACTTCTGCACTATGTCACTCAGGCCCTCCTGACACTACGACCAACCCTACGTCGGCACCTTTGGCAACTGACAGCACGGCTCCTGACACGGGTACTATGGCCTATTCTGATACATATTCAGGACCAGCACCTCCTTGCGTCCCGTTTCCGACGGAGTCAAGTTCTGCAAACAACTATCTCCATCGTGCTCAATTCTCTTCTCGCGTGGTTCACCAGATCCAATTCAAGGTCATTACCCACTCCAACAACACCAGGGAGCTTTTCATTGAAGAAATCCCCTTGCTCGGGCATTCCCGATGTCGTGACCCTGAACACTACTTTTATGGTCTTTCGGGCAACTGGGAGTGGTCCCTGCGTACAGCGGACTATTGGCGACATCATTTCGAGATCCCCCTTGTACACGGACACCATCCTTTTCACAATGTGCCCATTGAGACGACATCTCCTGCAGATGAACCGAGCCTAACCACCCGGCTCCATGAATTAGCCAAAGATCTATCTGACACCTTGAAGGCTGCTACGGCATCTGGGGAACTCGATCAGACTTGGGCGATGGTTGAACGCATGAGCTTCCACGAGGCTATCGAAGTTCTTCTACAAGCTCCGAATTCCTCTTCTGACTGAGGTGATCGCCCGTTTGTACATTAGGTTATTACAGGTTCACTTTCACTGGTGTATTGCCGATTCCGCCAGCGAAGTTCTTCCAAAAATCCAACCTCGCTACATGCGAGGTGTGTGTGTACCATCTGAACAGATGTAAAACTTCTTATTGGTTTTCACTACTTTGCAGGGGGACTGGAGCCGATTTGCCTATCCAGTCCAACGAAGCTATGGCATTTCGGTGGATGAGTGGTCTGATCAACCACTTGTACCTGCAAAACTCAGTTTGAACTGTTGACCAAGCTGTTACACTGCATTGTTTCGACTCTACACGGTTGCCACAATCTGTATTGCATGCATCAGAACCTTCCTCAGATTTTCGCCGAAACCATATCGCCGACGAACTTTGGGTCTTTTTGGGAAACAATCGCCGAAACATTATTTGGGATTTCAACATGCTGGTCAAAACTCTATGGACTCTGGTTTTAACTACGTTTGACAATATCGGATGCCCTACATCGTTTTCGAGAAGTACCTCATGCGGCTCTTTTACTCATCAAATAATTTAGACTGGTTTGCATGTTTCAGGATTCAGTTCCTGCCGGATCATATAATGATCCATTCTTGTCTAGTGTGTGTACCATCTGAATAGATGCAAAACTTCTTATTACTGCAGGGGGCCGTTGGGGGACATTGTGGAAAGTCTGAACAGACGTAAAACTTCGCTGGTCCCGGGGGGGTCGGTGATCAACGAAGACACCTCCCCGGGACCCGTGTAAACGTACGTGCTGGACTTTGGTGGTGCACCTGAGGGCATTTAAGTCGCAGCTGGTGGCCGCCATAGTCCTATATATATATATACATACATATATATATAAATTATTCATCTTGTCCACTTGCACGTTATGGGATTCAGTTCCCGACGGATCACTCTAATGATCCAATTCTTTTCTAGTGTGCGTGCGAGTGCATGTCTCTATGCAGATGTGAAATTCACAAAACCCATGAGTGAACCCAGATCAGAGGACGGCATACCTTGGATGCCCTGACAACGTGCTTCGACTGTATCATTTTGTTACATGCGATGTTGCTCGCATTGATTGCCTTCTCAAGTTGCGTCGTTTTGCCCATGCCCATTAGTTCCCCACGCGTTCCTTTGCCTCCATCAGAGTCCAGTAGTTTGAAGAAGGACCATGCATCTGTCACATCCAAACCCAAACCTGGTTGGTGGCACCGATGCCCTTGAACAAAAATTGACTTATGTAGATTTAATCATCATCATCATCATCATCATCCCAGACAAGATGGAAAATAACAAACTGAAACTACCAAGCAGAAACTCTCAAAATAGATGCGCACAGCTGGCGTTCGAATGTGTTGATTCAGCATCTCGTAGGTGATTGCACCGGTATTGTCTGCCCCGAGCTGCGTGAACAGATATCTGATCTTTTTCAAGTGGGATTCCTGAGTGGTGTAGAAGTCATGGGACAAAATGGCACGCAAACTGTAGACAAAAGTTGTCTTGGGTCAAAATTACCAACCTCAAAATGGACGGTTCAATCACTACAAACGATTAATTTGTGGTTGGTGGGGGCCTCAATTTTGACCCATACCCAGATGGACCTGGACAAAGACACCATTGCAACCGCGTATCTTTGTTGTCCAAAATATTTTGCACAACTGCTGCCTGATCCTTCTGTGCGTTCTCAATCGCCGATTGGCAGAAAACACCTGCATGGTTCAAACTAGTGGAAACTGGATCGCAAACCATTGCATTGCATGAAACAGTCAGATTGGCCATCATGTTCGATATCTGCAATGTCCATGCCATTTCAACGCTTGAATTATACCACCGAACAAATCCGGAACCCAATCGTAATTCTCAACTGTTCGCTTCAACAACGGTTCTTACATGTTAAATGGTACTGATACGTTTTGTTCGCAAAAAGCATCATGAAATTCAATCAATTTTGGTATATAATTTATTTTTGTTTCAAACCGGAAGAAAAAGACATGTGCCAGGAAACCCCAGAATTAGCAAATAACCAATGGAACGAAACACATGTTTGAGTCAAGTGGGCGGTTTCGTTGCGCATAAAAACTTGTCGTCTTTACAACCTAGTTTGATTCAATTCAACTTTCAAATGCCAACTGCATATTCCAAACACTGTATCACTGTGATGGCATTGTTGGTACGATTGGTTTCTTTGCCCACTCCACCGCCATCACAAGCAAGGCCTGTTACCACATTTAACACAGCGAAATAGGTAAACGCAACCTGGGATGATGGTGGTGAAGCGTGCAACAACCCATATTGAATAATGCTGGGTACTGATTTTTCGTTTAAATCCAAAACAACATCGCCCCAAAAGTTTTCGTGCACAATAGGGGGCCATCGAAACAATTACATTATTGAGGATCTGGGCCACTCATGGGGTACCCCCCAGAAAAATTGTTTGGGTGCTGTTTTTAACTAAGGGTTTAATAAGGCAATAAGGCATCTGATTATTTGGGAAACCTGACATTTTCAAGGCTTTAGCATAGATATGGTTTTCTAAAGTAATTGGACCAGCTTTACCCAAAGAAAGGTGTGTTTAAAGGTGGATAAAGCTCCTCCCGAAAAAATTGGATCGAAGAAAAAACTTTCCACAATCGAGCCCCACCCCCACCATCCACAAGATACTCGATAATTTTTGGAAAAATCCCACAAACGAGGTCCATCACACTAATTGGTATCCAACATTACTGCGCATGCCAAGAGATCCTTGGCTGACCAAATCGCAGTCTGACATTCAGCCAGCCAGCGACGCAGCTTAGCAGACAGGAAGACAGACAGACAGAGACAGACCGACAGAGACAGACCCACAGAGACAGACCCACAGAGACAGACAGACAGAGACAGACAGACAGAGACAGACAGAGACAGACAGAGAAAGAGACAGAGAAAGAGAGAGAGAGAGAGAGAGAGGAGAGAGAGGGAGAGAGACGAACGGCCAGGCTGTCTGAGCAAGGTCTGCAGCTCTCTCTTCTGATCATTGGTACATGAAGGGTTATTGTACAAATTTTGATAGGTGGTGTGAAAACAGTGGTTAAGACACTTGAGGAAGAGGTCCCATTCTTGTTGAACATCATCCTGATTTTCAAATCTGTAAGGAAGGTGGGAAAACTGAGTGAAAGAACGGAAATCCCGTGATAACATGGTTTCACGTGTCCAGGTGACATTTAACAAGTCGGTCCACTCATCCTTGGTAAGCCATGAAGGAACATCCCATTTGGGGGCTGGTTTCAAACGACCTTTTTTTGTTTGCCGAACCAGTTTTCGAAATTCAACCCAAAAACCTTTGTGATCAGATAGGTGAATGTCATTGTTCATGTGAGCGTAAGTGGCGAGTTCAGAGTGAGAAACCGCTCCCCAATCAATGAAATGCTCACTATTCCACCTAGATCCATGTTCGGGATTTCCAATTAGATGGCCACCTTGGAGTCGTAAGTAATGAAAAGCTTTACTTTCTTTTGGGTCAGCGTTGAAATCACCAAGAACCATCCATGACTTGGAGTCCAGTCTGTGTTGTTCCCACCACATTC